GGAAGAATAAATTATTTTTTATTCAATTTTAAGAGCCGCAATTTATTCTAGGTCGTTTATCTCACTATATTTTCCTAAATGAATGAAATATAAACCAATTTAAATGATAGCTTGTATAAATGTGAATTTTATATACTAAAATTACAATAGGGAAAACTTAAATAGAAACGCGATTTTTTTTAAAGATCTTCGTCGCAATGTAAATTTGTTTATCGCATAACAAAAAGCTCATTTTTAAAATGTTTTCTTGTAATGCAATAATTGATTTAATTATAACTAATTACTAATAAAAATTTAAAAGAAAAATTACTTATAAATATATTTACTCCGATGAAAAAGTAATTTATTGTATTAAATAAACTCGAGTCAAATTTAAATTTGGTATTAAGCACTTTGCAAGTGAATCTAAAACTTTAAAAAAAATGTCAGTCCAACTGATGCACTTAGTAAGATGAAATTATGAAATTCCTGTAGCACTGCATTGGACTTATAACACAGAGGAATAATCTTTTTTTCTGTTTTTTTTTTTCTTTTTTCTAAGAGATCTTAAATATTTACGTATAACTGATTTCTGATCACAATTAGTTTCTTTCTCCAAGGTACATTTTTTTTAATTTCCTTTTTACTCTATTTCGTATCAAAATGTACAAGTATAGCAACGTTATATATTACAAGGGGTCAATAAATGTTGCAACAAACTTCCGGGAAAGTAAGGGCACATCATCAGGATTAAAGCTGCATACAAACCCATGCCCGGAAATGTCACCACACCCCACCATGGGCGCTTCTCTATTATGAACAGTTTCTTCGTTTTCTTCTGAACAGGTCATAATAATGAAACACCCCTAGCCGCGTACGACGACATTTCCAGGCATTGGGTCCTAGGCAATTTTAATCTTGATGAGTTGCCGCAACTCCTTTAGAAGTTTTTTGCAACATTTACGCGAATTATATAATACGTTTTTGAGATTGTACATTTTGATAAAAACAGACTAAAAATATTATTTAAAAAAATCTGTAGGTGAAAAACTAATTCTTAAATTTGAAATTCCCGCACCCATTTTGAGCAAGATCAAGTATTAGTCTAAATGGAACAAAAAGTTTGTTCCTCAGTGTAATTTATCAAATAATTATCCTGCGGAACATTAACATTTTCACGTTAGCTATTCTATAGGGATGTCAAAAATTAAGATTATACCTGTGTAAGGTATCATTTTAATGCTCCTGAATCTTAAATATTTTTAAAACTCGCAGTCAAACATTTGGGCTTAATATGGGGGAAATGTTGCGATTCATTTAATGCTAAAATGGACACATTTTTTTTAAAAAAACCTAACATTCTGGAGTACTTATTTTTTTTAAGTCACTTATAACTGAATCTCAAAACATTCATATATAACTTCATGCTAAGGCGTATCGGCTACTTGATGTAATGTCACAGAGAACCAACTCAAAAAACTCACTACACTTTGTTCCTGAGTTTTACATTTTTCTAATTACCAATAAAAAAAAACTCTACTTTATTTATATCATTTTTAATCTTTATTTGAACAGTAGAAATTAAGATGTATTAGGATACTAAGTTATTATGTATGAAATGTTTCTCTTAAAAATATTAATTTTTTTAATTATAAAATTAAAATCAAAATCAGGAATTCTTAATTCCTGCATTTTAAAATTTAAATGGTATCTAAAAAAATAATTCTAACTAAACATATTTGCAAAATATCAATTAACTCCAAATTTTTTTTATATTAAAAAAAATTTTTTTTTCAAGTAAACTCTACACTTTTTCTTAATCGATCATTGTTCTCTGGAATGACCATATAAGTGACACCCTTACTAAATTTTATTTCACTTTAAAGGCAAAGTTATTACGGAGTAGTGTTCACTTATGTTAAAAATTCTTTCAAAGAACTATGAAATCTAATCGGTGTTACGGACAATACTGGATCTCATCTCTCTGAAAACTAAATCCAGAAAACTATTGTTTTAAACTAATAAAGCTGATAAAGCCATAATTATCTAAATATTTATAGGGTAGTTTTTCGAGAAATAATATTATTTTGTTTACAATAAAAAAAACAACACAATTTTGATTATTCAAAATAAAAAGGCTGATTCTATTCGTCAGGTTATATCCCTTGGAAATGGATTTTTACAGTGATTTTTTACAGTACACTCTGGAAAAGTAAGGAGTGACGTAGGTCATCGTATATTCAATTAAATATTTTAACAACAAATAAGCCTAATCAGTAGGAGCTTCAGACATAATCCTCATCCTAATGAAATAGATTCCGAATATGAGTGTGCAAATTAGTCAAAAAATTTTGTTCCGGAAAAGGGAATGTTGTGGAGGTTTTGGTTTCAACAAGATCCTCATTTTCGAAATACGAATTTGATTTCGTGACTTATATGTTCTGGACGTAGGGATTTTGTACGTTGTTTAATTTGGTTGCACCAACATTCCCACCTCGGAAATACGAATGCGAAAATTTATCAAAAATTTTTCACGAATATGTTACTGAAGTGTCTCTAATCTTTTTCATACATTTTTACACTAGCAAAAAATTTTTATTGTAATAAAACTAGATTTAGAATTACAATAAACTTGAAATAGTGCATATTCTTCTATAACAAAAGGAATACATTCATCTTCTTTGGGAGCATTGAAACAATATCTGCAAATACGGGTTAGTACCATCAAAAAGTCCTCCTTGAAGGCAAATTTCTCCCAATGCTTGATCCAGGAGTTTCCCAGTTTTCCGGATTGGGTTTAAAATTACAAAGCTACGGAGTTGAACATTGATAGTCGTAAACCCAAAACATTGGCTAGGTTCTTCAACGCCGGTTATTAAATAAAATAAAATAATAAATTTGGAAACATTTAATGAAATTGAATGAAATTTTTTTAATATTTTATCAATAATGATTGAATTGAGTCCAAAAGCCATCTCCACTTTTTTTTCAAAATTGTGAATTTTGGATTTTAAAGATTAGTTGCTCTAGAAAAGTGCTTAAGGTATAAAAACTCGATGTCCTCCTACTTGGTGCAGCATATTTTGTGCAGTGAAATCTCAATGTACACTGATCAAAACAATTAAAGGATATTAATGTTGTGGGTTGATCTTGCACCTGGAGAATTGCTTGAATGATTGATACATTATCGACAGACGTAGTAAGCTATATGAGATAAAAATGACATTTGTTTGGCAGAAAAAAATGCATTTTGTTGAGCATTTGGGTACAAAAGGAAAAAAACACAATTTATGCATATGAGAAAAACAAAAATAAGAAAGATATTTCCTTAAAAGAAAATCAGTTTTTATTGGGGGTATGGCTTCCCCGGACGGTCAGCAACATTGAACCCCATTGAGGCATCAAGACAATTAGGTTATTAATAAGGGGCTGGGTATTCTGTCGAACTTCTCCAGAAGAGCTTTTTCCCGTTCTTGGAGAATTTATGGGGGTGGTAGGCGTCCATCAGCTCGTTTGCCTTGAATGTTCGAAACATGCTCGATTGGGTTTATGTCCGGAGAACACGCTAGCCAATCCATTCGTATGATTCTATCCTTCAAAAGGAAATCATTCACCTAGTCAGCACGAGGTGGCCTGCAATTGTCGTTCATTAACACGCTGTCATCTCCAATTGCTGCAGCGTAAAGGACTATCATAGGTCTCAGGATCTCATCACTATATCGGCGACTGGTCCGGGCTCCATTTCGAATCATATGGATATCGGTGAGGCCAACAATGGAGGAGATCAACAACATAGATCTACCGCCAAAGCTTACACTTTCGTGCTCGAATGCAGAATTGTTTCTAGTGCTACGTGCACTCCAGATGAAAGTACGCCTATTATCAAGATGAACAGAAAAACGGAGCTCTTCAGAGAAAAGAATATTTCATCCTTCATTTCTCCTCCAGTTCACATGTTTAGTTGCCCACTCCCTGTGGGGACGACAGTGCCTGACTGTTAACGTGACACACATCATTGGTCGGCGAGCATACATACCTACAGCGTGAAGGTGGTTTCGGACAGTTTGTGTCGAAACTGTAGTAGCAGTAGCCGAGAGAAGGAGTTGTTGAAGAAGAGTGGCTTTTATATTTCGGCGTCCTCGAGCCTTTAGCGTGGAATATCGGTTTTCGTTGGGTGCTATTGCGCATCTAGGCCTAATCTTCAGCCTACATTCCTCTAATTTTCACCTAAACAAACACTTTGTTTGACTGACTCTTTAAAAAAAACTAAAATTAAAAGAGAATAATTAAGATTCAGAAGCAAATTGGGAGATGTTGTAGAGTGACGTATTGAATATTTTTGTTGTTTGTCTTTTGAAAATTCTCTCTAAATTTTGATAGACAGAATTGAGTCACACTTTTATTAATCTTTTTAAGACAAAACACTATACAGCGAATTAACAAAAAGGGTAATTATGGTGGAAAAATAACTTCTTAAGTAATTTCTTCTTTTTCCTGATTTACCCTTTTCAGCGACAGTGGTTTTTCTTGTTTTGCTTTTTTATCATTATTTTTATTCTCTCTCGGCTACTGAGGTTTTTCTTCTTTGTTTCTAACTTTTTTTTTCCTTCATTTCTCGTTCGCAATTTTACGTTTTATATTTCAAGTTACTTTTGTTTCTTTTCATTCACACATGGCAAGTCTTGAAAATGGGTGTTTATTTTTTGCGCTTGAAACTTGTCGACTGTAATTTCCAATCTATATGTTTTTAAAAGCGAATTAAGTTTTTAAATTTAGTAATTTCTTAAAAAGTTACCTCATTCTTAAAATGAAATTATTTTGCTAATATTCAGGTGTAGATCTTGCCTCTTATAAATTTTTAACCTCTACCTCGGTTATTTAAAAGACATAAACAGCTTAAAATACATTTCTCTCCACTTAATTCGATAAATTTTGGAAGAAGTCGCCGTTGTTAAGTTTGGCGAACAAACATGAGCGTGAATCTTGTTTGGCTGGTTTTTACCTATCCTCATAACAACCCTATTTCTCTAAAGGAGGAAGAAACTGCTCATCATCGTTCCTAGATTCTCTCTTCCAATCTGTTCTTAAATTATGTCTTCCCTAGGAGGTTCACTCTTTGAAATTTTAAAATTTATGCTTCCCATAAACTAATTTAACAAAATTAACCGGTATTTTCGATCAACATTCATATTATGGATATTTACCTAATGGTAAGTATAGTTTGCTTTTTTTTTCTTCTGGATTCTCACTTTTTTCCTTTTTTCTTATCTTGTCTTTTTTTCAACAACAATAAGAATTTAATGCATAATCAATAAATATAAGAATTTACTGCATATTAGGCAGAGTAATATCAATAATAAAATTGGGACTGTTATTCGCCTATTATTTTATTCACGATTGAAAGTCATTAATAACTACTGTATCACTTAACGAATACTAAATATATATGCTTTTCTTTAACCGTTTACCTACCGGAGTCAAATTTTGAAGTAATATGAGCTTCTGTGGAATACATGGCAGTATGTTTGCATACAAATTATGTGGATATTTTATTCAATTAACAACCAATTAGGTTTAAAAAAAAAATAGCATTTGCTTGCTTTTAGAACGGGATATGCATTACAAACTATATAATTTTATATTATTAATATATTCATGTTTTTCTAATTGTAAGTGAAGGGAAGATTGTGTTAGCAGTCTTTAACACTTTGAAAAAGAAATTTGTTCCAAAAACGTAACATGGCGCGTAAAAGGTTAATACGTTAGCTAAAATCAGAGATTAAACTCACAAATGGAATTCAACTAACTGTTATTGTGATATAATCAAATTATATCTGCAAAAAATAAAGCTTTTTTTTTGTCTGGTAAGATGTATTCATTGTTCATCAACATGTTGAATGTAATTACAAGCCACTTGTACTAAACCATATCTACCACTCTTTGTTTTTTCCTGTTATGATTACACCTATGTATTTATGATAACAGAGGTATTAACATGCAGACTATAAATATTTTTCCGGAATGCATGAAAAGTATAAGCTGGAAAAAGCTTGGAAACAAACGGAAAAAAATTAAAAGTGGTAGAGAAAGATTGTAGAAACAAATTGTTTTTATTAACTCTTATATAACAAATGTCTTTGTATAATAGAATGTATTATAGAATAAATGCTAAAGCAGCGTAACTTCATTCTGAAATTAACCGCTGGAACGTCATGAATGGACTATGTCCAGTCTTTTTCGCTACCCGTAAACTTGACCGAGGTCGCTTCTAAGAAAGGAGGAACATTTTTTATGATGGATCCTCGCCTTAATTTGGTCTATTCAAACTTTGCATGAGCAAAAAGGACACCATTTCGAAAATCCTAAAGCATGATCTTTTAAATTGGGCCAATAATTTTGCCATGTAAAATCCTCCAAAACATTCACTTCTAAAAAAATATTGCTTACATAGAGCATATATTTATCCAATGCCTGTTCATACATTTATAACACGTGGATTACTTTATGTATCAGTAGGTGAAGATAATAATCACCTTTTCTAAGTGTTATTCAAGACTCAAGAATGTATTATTTAATGTGATTATAATAAATAAGGGTGTATAGAATGCGTTCTTTCAGGAAGAAAAAAACTGCAAATGAAATATAGCTTCATTTCTTGTTTTTAAAAACTGATCTACGATCTCAGAGCAGTGGTTTTCAATAGTAAGCTGTTGCTCGAAAAAACACAGTCAAATTTCAGAAAGGGCATAGCGCCAAGTATAATATTGTGTTCGCGCTGATTAAACTGATTTAATAACATAGGCTGAAGTATTTTTAGACCGAAAAACAAACATATTTTAAAATGAGTTATTTTACCTGAGAAAAAACGGAAAAATTAGTGCAGTGTTTTTTTTATTATTATTATATATAGGTAAATAAATAAGTCTGCATGAACAAGGCAGCCACTATTTTTTATTTTTTAAAAATAAAAAAAATAGCTGCCACTGTGGAAGCGAGAAATTTAAGGTATAAAACAAAATGAATGAAGTACTATTTCTAGAAATAATAGTAATAATAAAATTAATCTACTCACTATGAGTCATGGTGGCTCCGGGGATAGACCGCCAAAGATGTGAACCCTGGTTCAAATCCCAGTGATTGCTGGAGGATACGAATTCCGCACCCGACTCACACCGAAATCAGTGCTGGCGTAAAATTTCCGCAGTGGTAGACGGATCATGGGTTAAAGCCCCCTTCCGTTAATCTAAAAGTTGGATATTTTTTGGTTTTCCTCTTCATGCAACGCAAATACGGTTAGTTCCATCTTAAAGTACTCCACGAAGGCAAATTTCTCTCAATACTTGATCCAGGAGTTCTCTTGTCTGCTATGGTAGGTAACATATATTTGGTAACACACTTTACATAACAATTGAGTTTTAGTTTAAGTAAGGCGAAGAAAAAACATTAAAAACAAATTTTATAGGAAAAAGTTGAGATGAATTTTCGGATAGTAGTATTTTTTATTTATTTCATTTATTTATTTTTATTTTTTTGAGAATAGCAGTTTTTCTAAAATCTTGTTAAGCCAAATAATAATATTTTTCTAAATTAACTCTTAGAAAGATGGCCTGGTATTAAATGCAGAGATGACCACTTGCTCCGGACAGCAAATATATATTTTAAAATGGTAGTTTACCAGTAGTTGTGATTCTTGGTTTAATAAATTCAATTTAATAGATTTTTATCCACCACTATTTCTAAATAATTCGTAGGCTTATATAATTCACCACCAAGTACTACTTATGTCATGCTACTCATTTTTAAAAAGCAAGCAAAAATAGTCAAATATTTGCAAAATTTATTTTGTAGTTATTTACCGTTTTTTTTTAATTGTTTTGGCATGTCCGGAGCAGTTGGCATTTCTGTTAAATGTAAACTAATTGATAAAAATAAAATAACTTATTCTCGAAGGGACAGTAGTAACACCCAATAAAAATATTTCTACCATAATTGATTCGGATGCGACTTTTATCCTGCAAATTTAAATTGATCGTATTTTGCTTGCATTTGAAGTGTAGAGGCAATCGCTCAAACTATGCATTTCTATTTTGTTTAGTACATGCCTTTCTGTCTGACAGTTTAATATTATTTATAATGACATATGCCAAGTAAACTAAGGGACAATATTTTTATAATAAATTGTGAAAATAGAAAAGGATGAGGAAAAATATAGTACACATTTCTTACAACTTAAACATTTAGTAAAAAAATCAATATAGTGCAATTTAACATGTGAATATTTGCTTTTCAGAGAACAAAAGTAATAGTTTAAACCTTAATCATTCAAATTAAGCCACAAGTTATGATATTTTTGATAAAATAAATTTGAAACTTGAGGATTTTAGTGGTTTACTTTTTATTTCTTATTTAATGTTAATTGAGATTATAAAACAAGATTGATAAATTCAAAAAAATTGCTAATTTGAGAACTTTTCATAAATTTTAAGAACTTTTTATTGTCAAATCTCAAATGAATAAATAAGTTTTTGAAAAAGACTTTAAAAGAGGATTTTATTTCTTATTAAAGGTTATTAAAAACGTTATTTTGTACGAAAATTTTTTTCTTCATAAGAATAAATAGTTTTACTTCTTTACTGTGACTAGTATCTTACATTTAATAAATAGCCAATGTAGGCAGTGTCTTACAAAGCGCTCAATAGTGCTGAATGATATCGGGATTTAATTATTAGCATACAACATTTAGAATTATCAACATTTTTCAATGCATTGTGATATTTTTTCAATTTATCTGAGTTATAATACACCGTATCCAATGATTATTATTTCTGATAATATCGCGAGATTATCATATTTGATTCTTGTCATTGATCATCGGTATCGATTATTATAGTTCATAATATAAAGCTCACAAAACATGGTATTCACGATTTATGGAGAAAATTCTTTTTAAAATATCATTGCCTCAATAACTCGAATCTTGATATTGTATGGTACAGCCACCCATTAATATATATCATTATCTCTTGGTAAATTGAATGTTGCAAAACGATCACTTGCCAAATATGTTCGTTCCAAAAATGATTTTCCAAAGTAGTTGTAAAATATAAATTGAAAAACTCAATTACAGATCAAAATATGCTTATATTTTCCCATAGCTTTATCACAAAAGCGTAACTTAGAGATGTCCTTGTTACTCAGTACCAGTACTGGTGGGCTCTCATTGATTCATCGAATCTGACATTTCTCAAATAGATAAGATAATGACATGGCTAGACATATAGTCGAATAAATATGGATGACAAAAACATTAAAATAGGGGGGGGAGAGGACAATATATGTACAATATGTCAGGGGATAGAGGGTTCGCATCCCAGTTGACCCGTGTTCGAATAACTACGATGATTGTATTCGATACTAATTCCGCACCCGACTCGTACCAACCACAGTGCTGACGTCAAATATCCTCAGTGGTAAACGAATCATGTGTCTGATTCTTCACCCTCAGGCCAACCATGGGACATAATAGAATGTATTATAGAATAAATGCTAAAGCCGCGTAACTTTATTTCTGAAATTAACCGCAGGAACGTCATGAATGGACTGTGTCCAGTCTTTTTCGCTACCCGTAATCTTTTCTCTACCCGTATCTNGCAGACTGTTTAAAAAGTGAACCAGTTGTGCGCATGAACCCAAAACCTTTTATAAAAGTAATTGAGAGAAATTTATCACATATATTTGAGAATTGAATCTGTAGTGGTTGACAAGTGAATAAGGCAGACCAATAATAGTCATAAATAAAATAAATTTTTAGTCATATATTTGCTACTACTTTCTTATTTTAGCTATATTCTGTATTAAATGACTCGTTCGGAAAGTGGAAATCCTTCATAGTGGTCTGATCGGACTACATATAAAAAAAAACCGTGCGGAGGCGTTGGTTATACGCTGTCAGCCAGCTGTTTTTCGCGGCTTATGTGAAAGGTCAGTGTCAGCAAGCGGTGGGCAGCCTAAATGTAATTTCAGTGTCAGCCATCGGTGGTTGACGCGGCCTAAATGGAAAGTCCAGTGTCAGCCACCGATGGCTGGCGCGGTGCTCAACGTGTTAACTGAGTTATAATACACCGTATCCAATGATTATTATTCTCGAGATTATCATATTTGATTCTTATCATTGATCATCGGTATCGATAATTATAGTACCTTATGTAAA